TGGGACTATGCCAAGTGCTTTTTGCATCTAATTAAAATAGCCATTGTCTTTCTTCTTTCATCCTGTTCATCTGATCTATGACACTGACTTAGTGCTATAAATGAAAACGGTTGTTACAGCGCTGTCATAAACCCCACGTCCCCTGGGGTCATGGTGTGAAACCACTTTAAGATGCTCCTGGAGCTGACATCCACCTTGGCTCATTTCCTGCCTTTCAAACAGGGGATCTGAGACTGGAGCTGGATGGGAAGTGGGGCTGCTGGGACATGAACTGGCGCCCCTAGTGAGGACTTTAGCCACTAGGCTATCGCACTGGGCCCCCACGTTTATGTTCTTAAAGGATCCTGGTCTAGTTTGTTGGCACATTTAGTTTTCGATATGAGTGTTAACACTGCCCTCTCCCTGCAGGTATAATCATTTACTAGACATTTAATAACCTTAACAGTTGATCCTTAAATATTGAGATTCCATTATCAGTGTGAAATACATTTTAAACATGTATAATATCTTTTTAAATATCCTTAGTGTTAAGAACGTCAAGTATTTGGTTTACCACACGCCTCTTTCAGGAAGATGAGGTTCTTCCCTGTTAGTGGTCCCCCCTCCACCCCGCCAGCAGTGGTTTGGTTCTGGATTTGTCCTGAGAATCCTCTGGAAGGCTTCCTGGCTCAAGAGGAACTAACGATTGAAAGTTTCACACTTAGGTCTTATATCATTTAATGCAGAGTTTAATCTTTGATGACGGCATTCACCCTTGGACAAAAAAGGACCCATCTAAAGCTGCTGAATTAATTTGAGAATCTGAAGAAGAGGGATCCGTATCTAGTGTACCTTTTATGAATTTCTTCAATCTTTCAAACTCCTTTCTATTGCCATGTCCTAAGTTCCCTGAGGAATACGCCAGCCCGCCCTGCTCTCTGGTCGCCCGTTCTAGCATCATCTGACCTTCCCTGGCCAATTCCACTGGTGGACTGTGAACACTGCAGTCAGAGAGAAACTCATACTAAGTCCTCAAATACCACTTTGTGTTACTTTGTTGAAGTTTACAAAGTCTGGGCTTTCTGATAACTGCTCTCCAGGAATGCGCTGAATTGACGTTTTCAAAATAAATTGTATGTAGGTTTTTTTAATAAAAAAAAAATCATCACTTGTCTAGAAATATAAGGTCCAGCTGTCACCAGCGTCCTGTCGCCGCTCCAGGGACACTCAACAGAGCTTGCGAAGGGGTGTCTTGTAGATACTCTCTGCCCACAAGGTGGCGCACTTCCCCAGCAGATGAGCTTGCAAGGACACTCACCTACAGCCATGGCTACACCAGGCTCGCCCTTCACATTCCAGTGTCTTTTTGTTTTTTTTTAATTAATTGTATTGCATTATGTGACACAGTGTTATGGGCACTGGGATTCCCCCCACCCCTCCTCGAACCCTCTCCCTATGGTGGATTTCTCCACCTGCTGCATTACCACAGTTCAAATTCAGTTGAGGTTCTTTCATTGGAAGTATTTACCGAGCATAAAGTCCAGCATCTTATTATCCTAGTGAGTTCAATGAATTCTTGATGAGACCATCTCTTGTCTGAAGGTAAAGCTGGCAAAAGAACCTGCATTTTCCTATTAACATATTGGTTAATCAATATAACGACAATTAATGCCATAATGTTGTAAATTGTAGTCGATGTTATGTTGGGGCTTTTAATTGATTGGGATGATACTTTGCCGGCTTTACCTCCAGTGCTCTTTTGTTGGTACAGCTTCTTAATGAATTGCGCTATTCTAGAATGTTCTTCTTTGTTTCTCTTTACAACTTTTGTCTTAGCCTATTTGGGCGCTTTCCTCTTGACAGCCAACATGCCAACAAGACCCAGAAATCGCACAGCCAAGCGAGCCATGGCCAAGGCTGCGTCGGCAAGGACCGGGAGCACCCAGGAGGCCGGGGGACACTGGTGGTGTGCAGCACCGCAGGACCAACTCCAGTACCACCCGGGTTACTCTGGGAAAGCTGGTATGAGGCATTCCCACTGGAAGAGGAACCAGAGCTTCTGCCCAATGGGCAACCTTGCTAAGTCGTGGACGCTTGGTCAGTGAGCAGCCCTGGGTGAACACTGCCGGGAACAAGCCTGGCGCTGCCCCCAGCACTGACGCCGGACGGTCAGGCTGCTGCAGAATCCTGGGAAAAGGAAAGCTCCCAAAGCTCCCTGTCACTGTTGAGCCCAAATTCTTCCAAAGACCTGAGGAAGAGATTAAGGGTGCTGGGTGGGGGAGACTGTGGCCTGACACCCCACTGTTCATCAAAGTGCCTTCTGGTTTGGGAAACAACCACCCTGTTTGCATGTTTGCTAATAAAGCCATCCTGGGCCCCTTCTGGCTACTGTTTGCGTGGAGTATCTTTTCCCATATTTCACTGTGTCATTGAGTCACTGAGTCATCACCATGCACAGCTGGATCAGTGTGTGCTAAATGAATGCAGCTGCTTAAGTAACTGTACCACACTTTCTATCTCTATTGTGTTTCCTCCTTTTAGAAAAAAGTCGCGGCACTGACCAAGCTGGGAGCTATCCCTGACATAAGGAACCCGGGCAGGCAGCCTGAGGGCTTCTGCGAGCCAGCCTCCTTTGCCTCTCCCCTGAGGGCAGTGCTCCAGTGTGCCCCTAGTACTTCACAGAAACTTTCAGGAAACAACGAACAACAGTGAGAAACGTGATTCCTACCTTGTCTTCCCAGGAGACTGTCACTGGCCGCCTGCATGGATACAGGGGTCCTTTCTGAGGGCGAGATGCAGTCACGGCCTCTCGCCACCTTTAGGAGGAGCTTCCTGCGGTGGGACGTCTTAAGATCAGCCTCAGGCAAGCAGGTGAACGAGGCCATCTGACAGCAGCTGGCAAACCTGCCCAGGAAATTGCAATAAACACTAACAGCTCTTCCTGGGTCCACCATGTGGACAGCGCTGCAGTGGGAGCATGCTCAAAGGCAGGCTCAAGTGAGACTGTTACCCCGAGGACCCTGAGGGTCGGGAGGCAGAGAGTCCTGCAGACTCGGGAAGCGGCCGCGTGGACCATGTACAGATCTCACCTGCATCTGAGCATGTGCCCTTCCCTGGACACAAATCACACTTGGATAAAGGGCTGATGTAAAATCAATTATGCTGCCACAGGAGCAAGGCTCAGCGTGTGGCCTGGCTTCTGGGCCACGTGATGGCAACGACAAGGAGAGAAGCATACTGCTGACATTCATGTATGGAGTGCCTGCTTCGATCTGGGTGCCAAAGGTTTGAGGGAGCTTTACCATTTACGAGAGCAGCTTCGCTCACTAATGCCAAGAGGAAACTGAGGCTCAGAGAGGCTTAGTCAGCTCCTGGACGGCGTGACTCAACCACTGCCCAGATGGCTGAGTTGCCAGGGGGTGCCAGTGAAACCACAGCAGGGAGAGGGAAGATAGGGAGGGTACAGAGATACGCTCCCTCCCTGCTTGGACAGCCTCCACCCTGCAGGCTCCTGGACCCCCCCACCACTGGGAAGGAGCCAGAGCCTGACAAGGGCAGGGGCACTGTGTGTGGGGGCGCGCTGGATGAATCCCACACCCCAATGGGCTATGTACAGGGCAAGCACACGACCCAGGCAGGGGCCCACTGGAAAGGGAGCACCCCATGAACCCTGCTGCATCGTAGCATCTCTCCTCCTTCAGGGTCTCCTCCAGATCAGGTACCAGGGCCGGCTACACTGAGATCCTCCTCTATTCTCCAAGTCATGGCAGCTACAAGAGGGATGGGACGGTAGCTGAGGGTGATCCCCATGGGGAAGGAGTCCTGGGTCGGGGGTGAGAGAGAAGGGATGTCAGACGCGGAGGTGGTACCAGGGCACTGTCCGGCATGTAGTCATCCCTTTTGCACACACCACCTGTTAACAGTTAAATGTGCCCTTGTGCCTATGTTCTTATTCCTGCAGATAAACAGGCATGGACGGCAATTATGTAACCGTTGTTGCCTGAGCCTACTCACTTGGGTTCCTGCAGCAAAGGTTTCTCCCTTGACCCAACCTACAAAAATGCAACCTGTTCTGCTCACCTCACTGCTGGAAGTTCACACTTGATGCTTTGAGGGAAATTCACATGTGATGCTCCCAGGGACCACAGGATGCACGGCCCATATGCTTCCCCCACCCCTAGGCGCAGCACACACCCCGCATCCTGCACCCCAAGGCGCAGCACACACCCCGCATCCTGCACCCCAAGGCGCAGCACACACCCCGCATCCTGCACCCAGGCGCACACACACCCCGCATCCTGCACCCCAAGGCACACCACGCACCACTGCATCCCCCACCCCAAGGCACACCATGCATCCCCCACCCCAAGGCACACCACGCACCACGCATCCCCACCCAAGGCACACCGCACCACTGCATCCCCACCCCAAGGCACACCACGCACCACTGCATCCCCCACCCCAAGGCCCACACCCCGCATCCGCACCCAGGCGCACCACACCCCGCATCCTGCACCCCAAGGCACACCACGCACCACTGCATCCCCCACCCCAAGGCACACCACGCACCACGCATCCCCCACCCCAAGGCACACCACGCACCACTGCATCCCCCACCCCAAGGCACACCACGCACCACTGCATCCCCCACCCCAAGGCACACCACGCATTCCCCACCCAAAGGCACACCATGTACCACGCATCCCCCACCCCAAGGCACACCACGCACCACGCATTCCCCACCCAAAGGCACACCATGTACCACGCATCCCCCACCCCAAGGCACACCACGCACCACGCATCCCCCACCCCAAGGCACACCACGCACCTCGCATCCCCCACACCAAGGCGCATCACACACCACGCAGCCCCTGCCCCAGGGTACATGGCACACCACACTTCCCCCACCCCAGGCTGCTCCCAGCCTCCCACATACCAGGGTCCCTTGATGTACTTAACCCACCGTGTTGCTGGAGCCAGCCACCCGCCCAGGGCAGAGCAATCAGAGCACACGCTGTGTGTTTTTGTCTTTTCATTATTCTTTCTTTATTGGTCCTGCCAATGTGACTCTTTACCAGGCCCCGTTCCTACGCGCAGTGGCTTGTCCACACTCACACCGTCTGGCCGGGTTCTTCACAGACGTGAGGAATTTTCTCCTTCCCTCTCCTGCTGCAGTTTCAGACTCATTTTCTCCGAAACGGAAGACAAATAATTGCTTATTATTTGTTTGTTTGGGTCTGTGTAAAGGTTCCCTGGCAGGAGAACATGCATATGACTTTAAAATAAAGACAACATCTGACACTAAGGTAATGCACAGAAAAAAATACAGTACTCAGACATCATTGCAAATAAATACCCCATACAGATGGTACAGATGAAATCCCCCATAGGGAAGTTATCTGAGATAACTTCATCTGTAACAGTATTTCTTATGAATCAACACTGTGACAGAATATTTTAAAAAAACAGGAGTCCCAACAACTAGGAATAAGAAATGCTTATTCCAGGAAACAGAATTCTTTTATTCTTACTATTTGCAAGATTATAATTTATTTATTTATTTTGGAGGGAGGAGCTTTTTTTTTCCTCTCTGAGTACCAATCTGACCACACCCAAGATGCTCCCCAGCAGAGGGCGCCAGATGCACACCTGGGTTGCTGGGGAGTGTTAGTGAGTTCTGTTTCCTGAAATGAACAGTGATTAAGTTACACCAAGCAAGAGAAGATACAATGTCTCCTTTTCACATTTGCAAAGAATGCCGTGGCTACCCCGCTCCCCAGTGCCCGCGTGCGCGTGCCCGGCCCCTGACACAGCTCTTCACAAACATGGTGCTCAGCAGCTTGCTCAGCTCAGGAAGTCCATTTGGTTCCCAAAGCACACTCAAAGATTTTTGTTTCCTTTCATCTTCTAAGCCCCTGAATTTGTAAGTAAAGAATCACTGACTAACAGAATTTTGCACAATTACTGTTTCTTTCCCTCCATGAAGATGCCCAGGTCCAGGGGGGAGGCGAGTAGCTGCTCCCACCTGTTGGTGCCCACTGGCTTTTGTCTACCCTGCTCCTTGGAGTTACCTGCGCTGGGACACCTCCCTTCACTGATGAAGGCACTACTGGCAATGAGTACTATAACAAAAAGGTGTGGAAATAGAACACCCTAAAAGTCGACAGCTGTAGAATTTTCTAAGTGTACCACAATTTGGCACAACAACCAGAATAACAAAACAATTCCAATTTGGAATTTCACTGGTACAGTTGTATAAAATTCTGTTAGTCAGTCATGCTTTACCATGTCCTAAAACCCAGAAAACTCTGGAATTTGTAGGTAATACTACTCATTCAATAATTTATCTTTTTTTTTTTCAAGTGCCTATTATTGTTTTAACCAGAGCAAAGGTCAAGTTTTCTTCTTGTTACATTGAACTATTCCTAAGAATAATAATAATAATACAATATGAAAAACCCCAGAATTGGAATACCCTGGATTTCTTAATGAACATGGCATTTAAAATCTGAAATTTCAAAAAATGAACCACAATGCCGTATCCTCTGCCAGGCTGCTGGACCACAGCACGGATGCACTCTGCTGCGCTCCCTGCTGGGTTGAGGCCTCCTTCCAGTCCAGAGCTGCCTGCAATGCAGCACGTGGCACAGCCTCCCGCCGACAGGACCTCAGCAATCAGCGTGCGACACGGCTGTGGCTGCAGGACGCGAGCCAGACTGCAGCATCGGAGACCGTCTCCACGCGAGGAATTAGGAAGCAAATATAATATCAAAATGTTAAAAGTGCACAGGTTGATCAGATTAAAAAAAAGGAAAAAAATCTGTGATAAGGAGATCCCGTGGTGGGTGTTTCCGGCAGGCTCCGGGCAAGCCTGGCGTGGCCCCGGAAGCAGTTTCTTCAGCCATACAGAGGTCATTCCAAGCAGCAACTTGCGCCACTCTCAACATTAAAGCTTGCTTTCGTTTTTTTTTTTTTTTTTTTTCCTCGCATTAAAAACCTCAGGGAATGCTATTTTGGAAAGAATTGCAGTGGTATATCCAAAAACGTTTTATAAGTGGACTTTTAGGCCGCCCTCCCTCCTCCGTGTGGGCACAGGAGGGAAGGCCGGCGGCTGAGTCCGCCCAGCAGCTACTCTACAGCTGGAAATGGGAGAAAACAAAACAGCATTAGAAACGGTCCGGTGCCCTTCCTGTCGGCCTGACCACTACAGCTCCCGCTGTGCTGGGAGGGTGCGAGCCGTTAGTCGGCAAGGGGAGGCCTGGCTGGGGGTTAGGGGGCCGGTGGCTCTGAGAGCCCCTTACGGGGTTCAGAGAGAAGCTGTGAGCTGGCTCAGCAGGAGAGGGCAAAGCAGAAGGTGGGGTGGGGTGGGGGGCAGGCATGCGACAGCATCCAGGAAAGAGGCGAATGGCTATGCGTGGCCCTGCGTTGCACACCAAAACGGCACCCGGAGTCTGGAGTGACAGAGGCACGCTCAGTACCCAGGAGAAGGGGCCAGGGCACGGGTTGTGTGTGGGCAGCATGGCCCCATATCTAATGGCAAACCCTGTCCAGACAGACAAGCAGCTGGCATCAGCCTGTGGTCCAGCCAGCTGCACGTGGATTGAGAGACATGGGTACCAGTTCTGCTTCCACATGGGAGGGTCCCAGGCCGGCTTCCCTTCTCTGCTGCCACTCCTCCATTGCACTAAACAGAGACCCTCTATGCCTCCTACCACAAACTGGCCTCGCCCACTCCCGTGTAAAGCTCTCCCAGCACTGCTGGACCCTGTGGCCGTCATGCTGCCCTACTGTGGCTGCCATGCTGCCCTACAGGAGACTCAGGATCCAGGCTGAGGTTCGGAACCCTGTACTTTAAGGATGGAAGCCCCGAGAAGTCCAAGGGCAGGCTGCCCGGGTTCCCCAAGAACCAAAGGGTAGGCTTTCCAGGAAGGATGGTGATTTGGCCAGGCACTTGGAAAGATTTTTTTCCACTCAGAAAGAAAGCCCCAGGCTTCGGGTGTTGCCAGTGTATCACCTTGGAGACCAGCAGATGAGTGTGGAGGCCTCAGATGGAATGGAGGCTGCTGAGCTCTGCTCTCCTGGCTGTCGCTGGCTGTGTGGGTTGTGGGTTGCTATCTGCAGAGGGGAGCCCAGGTCTGCTCTGCTCTGGGTTTTGGGGAAAGACACCATGAACCTTCGTCCTGACTGAGGTGCAGGGAGATGCTGTACAAACTACAAAATTCTTTCCATAAAACCATGCTCAGTGTAGCACAGGGTCTGAGGCCCTACTGAGACATGGGCCAGAACCTCCTAAAAACTGCTTTTCCTAGACATGCGAGGATCATGCAGATTTCAATTCAGACCCTGCCCCTCCACGGTGGCCAAGGGGGCGGGACCGGGATCCTCCCCTCCCCCCCCCAGGGTTCTGCCAACACCCAGGGCACTGGAAGACACATCCACCCATCTGTCTTCCCCCAGCGCGTGTGGCTATTTCCCCACCCCTGCCCCCAGGACTTCCTAAGGAGGCTAGGAGAAGTGAGAAGCCATGTGAAGCTCACAAAATGTCCTGGCGACCAGTGCCCCATGCCACGTGGCCCAAATCCTGCCCTGTGCGCGTTAGTCACGTTAGGGTCTGCCTAGCCTGCTGTCCCGCTGTGCTGGGGTTAGATCAGTCAAGCAGACATTAGCTGCAGTGTGCGAAGCCCGCGACCTAATCGCAGTATATGCTGTGCTTCTTGCTGCAGAACACCTGGCTGCTGAGCCCGGCGTCCTCGGCCCTGTCACTGGCGCAGGCACAGGTGTGACTTACACTGGGGGTGGCTGGCTTGGCCTTGGAGGTGGCCTTGGCACGGCCCCGCCGGGCCTGCTCGTGGTCCAGCTCGAGCAGCTCCAGGCGCTGGGTGAGTGCCAGCTTCTGCTGGATGGCCATGCGCAGCAGTGAATTGAGTGTCTTCTTCTCGTCCTCCGCGGCCGCCAGCTGCCGCTGCATCTCATCCAGCTGCGTGATGTACTCATCACACCTGTGGGGACCAGAGCGCGGCTGAAGGCAGGACATCGGTGGCTTCAGTGGCCCCTGGCCTTGGGGGCTGAGCCTTTTCCGGTTTCACTTAGCGTGGGCCCCTGGTGAGGCCCCTGGCAGCCCCGTAAAGCAGATGTTGGTGTTGGTTTTGGGGAGCCAGTGTTCTCTTTAGGGGAGCCGCTTTGTTCACAATGCTCCTTAACAGTGCAGCTGTGAGACAAGACATCACAGGCATCTAGGCGTGGGCCCACACTCCAGGCAGGCCCGGGCTGGTTCCTGCTGCAGGTCCACAGCCAGCGTCGAGTCTGTGCCGAGCGACACCCAGTGCAAAGCAAAGGTGTGGATGCCACAGCAGCGTGTCCCGGTGTCTGGGCTTCCACGGAACCGTGACTCGTGTGTTCCACCCCGCTACAGAGCTGGCAAAGAGGCAGAGCGTGGGCTGTCCCTGGGCCTCTGTTTGCCTGCACACCTGCTCACTGAGGGGCTCTCTGGGGCCTGGAGGAGATGCTGACACATGGGGCCCTACCCTGCCTGATGCCGACAGGGGTTCAGTCTTTCAACAGCATCTACCTGGCAACACATCCACTTGGGTCTGAATGTTAGCTCCATCTGTAAAGTCAGAACTTTTACAAGTTGACAAAGCTATGGTTTCCCTTCCAGATGCAAAGCATCTGTGGAATCTATCTCAAGTACTTTCCTACCCCCAGGGAAAAAAACAATGTCGCTAGAAAAACCAGGGCCCAGGGAACTGTTTTGCTGGGCCTGTTCCTGCAGTCTCCAAATCAGCCAGCAGGTGGCACCAAGCACCCTCAGCCTTGCCTCCCAGCCCTGAAATTTGACTTTCCTAAGCCAGTGGCAGGTCGTGCACATTCAGGACAGCCTCCAGCTCACTCAAGATACTCAAATTCAGAGTCTCTATGAGGGAGAGGAACTGAGTTCCAAGGATAACAGGGATGCAGAAGCACGGAGCTGTGCAAAGGCAGGATCCCACTCCAGCCAGGAGGGCAACTCCTGAACTGGCCAAGTTCAAGACGGGCTGTCCATCTGCTGGCCTGAAGTCAGCCTGGTTGGCCACCAGGGCCCCAGCCAAATCAGGCACTTGGTCTACCTCCAAGCCTGCTCCCCTTGTGCTCCTTGCATACAAAGCAGGACAAACCCAGGGGCTTATTTGGGCTTCTGGGTTTTGTTAATAGCTAAATGGAAATAGCTCCACAGAGGAAGGCTTCTGGGACTAACTGGGCAGCAGCAGGAACAGAGGAAGAACCACATGCCCCTGGCCACACTCGGCGCCTATCAGGCGTACTCTGCACTCAGCACCTTCTCACAGGGTGTGTAGGAAGCTCACCCTCCCTTGTCACCAACTCCAGCTCCCATTGTGTATACCAGGCAAGTGCTGAGTGCCACGCTTTCCAAACACGTTGTGTCACTCCCAGTGGTGCTGGACACAGGCCTAAGAGAAAGGTGGAAGAGGAGGGGAGGGGCATCGGGCAGTGTGGGTACCTGGTCGCGAACATGGCTCGCAGGGAGGAGAAGGTGGCCGCGTCCTCCTTGAGGGCCTTGAGCTCGTTGCGCAGCTTCATCATGGTCTCAGTCACCATGGCCTTCTCATTCTCATACTTGCTCTTCAGGTTGGCGAGGGCTACCTCCGCTGTCTAGGGGACAGACAGGCGCACGGCAGGTGGGTAAAGGTATGACACTGGCCAAGCTCTGGGCTCAGGTGGGACCCGTCTCCCGGGCACACTGGGAGATGCTCACCCTCCCTCCAGTGCAGCTCTGCTCTCAGCAGGCCTCAGCGAGTCTCACAGGACCCCCCTGAGAGAGCCCCATCACACCCACTCCTAGGCATTCAGCACCAGGAACCGACAGCCACCAAGTCATCACTACCCATTCTTACTGGTCAGGTGGCCCTGAACGACTGCCCTGCTGTCATCCCTGACTGATGTACGGCCACCTCCACACGCGGGGCCCTCTGACGGAGGACAGTGCCCAGCCCGGCCAGCGCACCTGCTTGTTGGCCTTGAGCACGGTGCGCAGCGTGGTGATCTGCTCCCGCTTGGTGCTGAGCAGCGACTTCAGCTTGAGGATCTCCTCCATGAGCGCCTCCTTGTCCTTGTCCACGGCGGGGCCCAGCTCCTGCGAGGCAATGCGCTGGCGGGACAGCTCGGTCGTGCGGTCCACGGCCGCCTGCAGGTGCTTGATCTGGTCACGGATGATGGCGATCAGGTTGTAGATATTCATGGGCTCCCGGCGCGGGTCACTCAGAGGAGAGGGCAGGGAGGAGCCAGGGGAGGGACTGCTGTCCCCAGGGCCACTATCAGCTCGGCAGGCCTCTGTGGCCAGCAGCCCCTTGGACAGGAGGATGGGGGAACGGTGGCCCCGGCCCTCGGGGCTGGTGCGGCCCCCTGGGCTTGTGCGGCCAGCCCTGGCCTGGCCCTCGCGATAGTAGTCCAGGGCGACACGGGTGGGCGTCTCATTGTTACACATGCACACGTGGTGGTAGAGGCTGGCCAGCTCCTCACTGAAGGTCACCAGCTCGTCCTGGGCCACGTTCAGGCTGCCTTGCGTCTCACCGGCCACATCGCTCACTTTCTTCAGCTCTTTCTCCAGTCGGACCAGCAGTTCACGGTCCTGGCGGCTGGTCTTCTCCAGCAGGGTGACCTTCTCAGTGAGGGCCTGCCCCTCGGCCTCGTAGCGGCCCTTCTCCTCGGCATGCTGGGCCTCACGGGCTTCATGTGTCTCTTGCAGTGCCCTGAGCTGTTCTCGGAGCTCCCCGGCCTCGGCCATGGCCACGTGATACTTGCAGGCCAAGACCTCGGGGCCGTCGATATCCACCTCATAGTAGTCGCCGTCCTCGCGACTGTCGCGGTCCTTCTCATCATCCAGGGCTGTCTGTCGCTCCTTGCCCGCCTGCAGGCGCCGCAGGGCGCTAAGGTTCTCCGTGAGATGGCTCACCTTCTCGTGCTGCTCCGACAGAGCCCCCCGCGCCTGCTCCAGTTGTTTCTGCGTGTCCTGCAGTGTTGCCAGCAGGCCTCCCTTCTCCCGCTCCATCTGCAATGGCACAGGCAGCAGGAAAGCTTGTCAGCAGGAACAGAAGCCCTGGGCAGTCCAGCCACAGCCCATCTGCCATGGCAGGCCATGGGCTAGGCGGAACTTACACCGATCCCGCAGGACACCACCCGTCCTCAGCAACAGTGGTTCCCTGCAGTGGCTGTGCTTACCCCGACTAGAGAGCTCTGAGCTGGGCGAGTGGAAGGGCCCTTCTGTGCCACTCTTGGCTTTTTGTTTTTTGTTTTTAGTTTTGCTTTTTAAGAATTGTTTTATTTATTTGGAAGAGTTACATAGATAGGGACGAACACACATAAAGGTCTTTCATCTGCTGGTTCATTTGCCAAATGGCCACATGGCTGGGGTTGGGGCTGGGCCAGGCTGAAGCCAGCAGCTAGGAGCCTCTTCTGGGTCTCCCACACTAGTAGCAGAGGCCCAGAAACTTGCACCACCTTCTGCTGCTTTCCCAGGTCATTAATAGGGAGCTGGATTGGAAGTGCAGCAGCCAGGAAAGAAACTGGTATCCATAAGGGATGCTGGCAGCTTTACCTACTATGACACAATACCAGTATCCCCATTCCCACTACCCTGCTCCAGCCCGGCCCCTCTTGGCTCTTGAGGACGGGAGCTCTGGTGTTCTCTTCCCTGCACATCAAATGATTTGCTGGTTCAAGAGACTGCCTTCTCCCAGAGACCAGCCCATCACCAAACCTGCTGCTCGGGTACAATCACTTCACTCTGACACAATCTGGGTGACCAGGCGGCAATGTGGGCAGTAAACCCAGTCATCAGGGACCTGGGATTCTGCTCGGGAGCCTCATTCGTGTTCACAATGTACGATTTGAAATTAGCATAGGGTAAAGGGCAGGCAAGCACTGGCAGTCAGGGAAGCTCTCCAGGGGGCAGACTGTGTGTGGGCAGATATGCCAGGATGTGGGAAGGCGAAGGGAACAAGGGCAACCAAACCCTTGGCTCACCTGCACCAGCTGCTGCTTCAGCTTCTGGATCTCAGAGATATGCAGCTCACTGAGCAGGTCAGAGACGAGGCTGGGGGACGGCGGCGCCAGGCTGTCTTTCCTGGGAGTGGAGGTTTTGTTGTCTGGTGGCGGCTTGGCCAGGCCATGCTCAAAGCCGTTGACTAGAGCCTCAGCATCATTGTTGGGTTCGGCTGCAGTGTCGTCACTGAACTTGAGGCCATCCAGGGAGACTTGCAGGTGGCTGGTATAGAAGGAATCGTTGATGCTCATGTAATGCGACAGCTCCTTGCGCAGGCTGCTCTTCTGCTCCCGCTCCGTCTTCAGCGTCTCCAGGGCCTCCTCCAGCTGCCGCTCCGAGATCTCCTTGAGCCGGATGGCATCCTCCAGCTGGCTGTTGAGGTACTCAGCCTCCTCCTCCAGGCGCTTGATCTCATGTTTGAGCCCCTCAAACTCCACCTGGGAAGAGGCCATGCAGCTCATCAGAGCATGGAAAAGCAAAGGCCACGGGCATGCCCCCAACCAAAGGCCAAAGGGCTGCAGCCTTCCAGGCCGAGATTATAGCCCAGCCCCAAGGGATGTGGACACGAAGGCATCCAGGCATAAGGCACAAACACACACAAGTGCTCAGAATGCCAGAGGGGGGAACACTGCACACCAGGGCTGCAAAACAGACATCTAAGAGCCACACACATCTATGCTACCCAGTGCTCGCTGGGCTACTTAGAAATCTTCCAAGTGCAGATTCCATGAGAGCTCTGCGAGATTCAGTACAAGTAGTTCGGTAAATGCCTTCATTGCTCATAAGATGCACTCAAGTACTTGGATGTGTGCCATAATCGTTATTTTCTAATCATATCTCAAAATGAAGGGACTGAAATTCCCCCAAAGTACACACATGACACAGGCCTGCAGGAGCTCAGAGACGCAGGAAGCCCACAGGCTGTCATGTGTGTGAGGCTACACCTGCAGGCGGGCAAGGATGAGCTGAGTAGATATATATGTTTCTTAACACTCTGCAGTATTTAGATAAACAATAAAAATCATAAAAAGAAGTGCTGTGTAATTTTCTGTGAGTCTTGGATATGAAAGGGCACCCAGTACTGACACAAAGATGTGCTCCCAGGAGGTGGCTGTAAAGGTGGCACAGACCAGGAGGTGTGTGTGTTCCTGAGTGCCAACCCGAGGGCTGTATCCCTCTGAGACTTGGTTTCCCTCTCCTCAGGTTCTGCCAACAGTACTACTTAGAACAAATGGCACCCACGAAAGGTCACTGCTACAACTTCTAATCAATTGGAAGTGGGTCTGCATGTAGTTCTAATGTACTGGGGAGCAGAACCAGTTCGCTGCTTGCTTTTGCAAGACCTTTGTACACATGAGCTTCCTTATCCAGGAGAAATGGCAGGTTTGCTGATGGCAAGACTCTGCTCCGAAGGACTTGGTGGGCCAGCCCTGCTGAAGGCAGCGAGGATGGGGTCCACAGCATCTGGGGGCAAGTACGCAGTTTCTGGGGAGAAAAGATTTCCCATTCCTCACGCTGAGGGTTGTGGCTGTCAGGCTGTGGCATGTTAGGCCCTGAGTGACTCACAGAGCCCCCAGCTGCCTGTTAACAAGAACAGAGGGGACCCCAATTCTCCCCAGCCCAAGCAGAGGGGGAACAGCTCATCTCCACCAAACAGAGGCACTGCCATGTCCAGACCGCCCAGTCAGCACCTGGGATGGGACGGCGTCTGCAGATTCAGTCTGCGGGAGCTTTGGGAGTGCCATCTTGTAATCCTCTCAGACTGCTTTCCAGTTTGGGGGAATCACATCCCTGGCCAACAGTCAGGGAACGCCACGGCTAAGTGCCTTTTGGTGCCACTGACGGGTCTGAGCCTCGCTGGCTGCACCTCTTGTATACACAGCAGCAGGGCTGGCATAGGGGACCCCGTCTCAGCACCCCAGACTTGCCTGGTTCTGCCGGAGCAGAGACACTTGCTTCTGCAGGCTGATGTTCTCCTCCTCCAGCTCCGAGTAGTCCTGCAGCAGGCGGGCCTCCCGGAACTTGTATTCCTTGATGTCATCCCGCAGGCGGCCGCGCTGCACCTCCACATTCTGGTTGATCTGCCAGGGGAGGAGAGGGGAGGTTAAGTGAGTGGCCGACTGTGCCTCTGCTTCCAAGGGGCGTGAGGAGCCTCGGTGTGGCGTACCCAGGGAGTGGCAGAGGGTCCTGAAGTAATCCCAGCCCTCTGAGTGTGGGTCCCTAAGTAGAGGGGCAGGGAAGGGGCAGCGCCGCAATGCTATCTGCAGATGCTCCAACGGTTAAACAGCATCTTCCAGAGAAATGAACACAGCGCAGTGCACTCAAACCTACACAGTCATGGCAGTCACAGGCTGCCCGAGTCCACCGAAGCATCCAGGGACAACACAGCACGGCCCGTGTACACAGCCGAGTAGTGCTCAGCTATAGCTCAGGAAAGACTTCCTGACGCTTGCTACAATACTGAGGAGCCCTGAGAACTTCCTGCTGAGTGGGAGAGCCAACTGTAAGAAACCACACAGTGTGTCCCCTTGCAGGAGCTCAAGTACTGTGTCTACAGCATTCAGACTCAGAGAGGGTTAGTGGTTGTCAGCGGCTGAAAACTCAATACTACAGGGCTGCTTCTTAGAGTGACAGAATGGTCTAAAACTGATTGTAGGAGAGTGCCCATATGTGAATATACTGAAAGCCAAGAGTACTGTGCATCTGAACCAGATGAGGGTCAAGGAATGCGAATGATCAACAATGCTATCAGATGTTAGTTCCTGCACCGAGTCGCCTGTGAAGAGCTGGCGATCCTATAACAAGGAGAGCTTAGTGAGGACAGACCGGGAACCTTCTACCTGCTGCTCTGTGTCAGGGCCTGGGGTTCAATCCTTATAGTCGAGGCCTGATCGTTCTTGCTGATGGGGTCATCCTGCACACTGCAGGAAGTTCAGTGGTTCCCCTTTTTCAGTCACCGAGACAACTGAACACATCTGCCAATGCGACACTCCCCTGGGATCAAGATCATGCCCTTCATAAGCTCCCTATTTTTTTCCAACCCCTCAGTATGAGCAAAGGTCTGGCCCCCAGGCCAGCTCACACATCCGAAACCATCCTCTTAACTCACGTGAGGATCTCTCCCGGTCATAACCACGTGTTCATCTGACTGACACATGCTTTACACAAGATACCCGGGGGTACATACAAATAAGAAATGGACCAAAAACACAAATAAGGAAAAAGGAAAGCTCAGAAGATGTACCTAGCGCCACTGACAAATGCTTACTACTTAGAACAAAGCCTGTATTAAAAAAAAAAAAAATCTATGGCAAATGGGCAGAAACAGCTCTCTTACTGAGTGGTCCAAGGAGGCCAAAACTGACACCAGGAGAAACAGGTACATTGTACAGGAAAGCGGAGGTTGACAGGGCTGGCCCTGGAGGGCTGGGACAGACACAGGGCACACAGCCTCCACACAGCCACCCTGGAGTAGGGCTGCAGGCCCAAGCCTAGCACTCAGACACTGCTCTGCCAGAAACACCTGTCAACTCCTGAAGACAAGGTTTGTGTCCCAGCTTCTTCCCTAGGTCTGCACATCAAGACTGCCAGGCCTGGCAGGCCCTGAAGACTGAGGCAGAGGGCCAGGCCACAGCCTGACAGCCCTAGAGACCTGCTGAGGCAAAGAGAGGCTTGCAGCCCATGGCAGCTCCCGTTCTGTCCGTTTAAGTCCTAAGAGTCTGACACTAGCCTGGCCCTAGCAAGGGGCACTAAGCATTCTGTAAAGGATCTAATATCAGACCTAGAACAAAAGGGTGTTGCCCACAGACATACCCTCCTGCTGGTGAGCTGTGGGTGGAGTATCTGGGCCCATGCAGGTGTAGGGGTGGCAGCCCTGTGGTCACACACAAGCATCACACAGCACAGGAGACACGTTCCACTGTGTGTGGTCCAGCAGCCCAGATGGATGAGGTCAGAGCATGGATCAAGGCCAACTGCCTGGGCTTCTGTCTCAGCTCAACCCTCTTCCTCTAGATCATTGCAAAGAAGGGTGTGACACTTGCCTCAAAGGGTCAGCTTCCCCAGATCTTGTCCCCAGACTCCCAACACAACCCTGTAGGCACATCTATTTCCACTTTAATGGGCCAAGGCCCATCAGGCCTCAGTGTATGTACAGGATCCAGTTCCCCAGCTGGGAAGGGAAGCCACAGCTGTTCACCCACATTCCTGTACAGTGCAGGGGTCAGCACCCTGCAGCTGCAATCCCTGTCAGATTCAGGACACCAGGCATGCCATCAAGAGCACTGGGTGTGAGGTGGTCCAGCACACTCAGAGGACCCTGGCACTGCAGAGCCTCGGAAGTCCTCCAAGTGCACTGCAGTGTGCAGGGGACACAAACCATGGCAGTCACAACAGAAGGAGAAATGGGGCATCTTGCAGACAGCAGAACCAGAGGGTACAAAGACTAGTCTCTAGTTCAAGGGGGTGCAAGGTGGCCCCTGAGGGAGGAGGCCAGGGTGGGGCCACACACGAGCCGCTCAGGCGGTTAAGACCACACACTGATGGCAGGGGAGCCAGGAGCTGGGTGAGGCTGGAACAGGTGGCAGTGACACGAAGGCAGCAGAGACCCTGGGGCTCCATTCCGCTATGCAGCTGCCCAGGGAGGGACACAGCCCTCGGGAGAAAACAGGCTGAGGGGTATGGCAGGATGGACAGGATTTCCTGCTGAAGCTCAGCAGGAACAACAGGAACCCATCTCCAGACCCGAATATCTTCAATGTGAAGGGCTCCTTTCCGGCTGCAGGGTCACTCAGATTTTTCTGGCCTTTGAAAGGCAGAAGGGGCGGAAAAGACTGCACAGGAGGGAGTACTTCCCTGGATTTTCAGGAAGAAGGGCTGTTGGAGGACTGGGATAGCGGCCAGGGCAAGGGGAGTCTCTGCAGAATAAGTCCCTCCCCCGCCATCCAGGACCCTCTGAGAGGAAATGAGCTCATACAGTTGGTTCCTGGCAGTGTCCCCCAGCGTGGGGTCTGACTGCTGCACACCTCAGGATTTAGGCTCTGCCAATCACCGCAAGAGACCATCCATCACAGAGGATGCGCTCCTGTGGCGCGGACAAAGACCTCAGGGACTCGGACGTGGAGTTAAGTGATGTAGGGTGTTCCCTCCAAGAGCCTCTGGTGACTTGGCTGACAGACAAACAGGCTGGGAGTGAGGACATGACCTGCTGTCTTGAGCTTCAGTGATGGGCGGGCAGTTGAAGGGCAACCTGAACTTGGGGTTGATCCCTAAAGCCAAATCTGGGAGGCTCAGCTTCTGCCCCCGCCCCCCAAGACATAGGCGTCTGCCCCAGGACAAAGCACATGGTGGGGTTTTGTCCTCCATGCTCACGCAGACACCCACTCCAGGGGATAAAAGCTTTGCTCAGAGCCAGAAGGGTCCCAGGATTTGCACACCCTGAGGCACGAGGAGGGAGTCCAGGAAGGAGAAATACAAAAGCTCCAAACTGATCTCCACAAGGCTCCCCTCCCTCCTTACCCTGCAGGATGAGTGCTGCATTCTCCTCCGTAGGCTCCTGCCTGCGACCTGCCCCCCAAATCCTGCTCTGGATTACCCAGCTGACAGGGCCAAGCTGGTTCTGCTCAAAAGCTCATGAGTTGATACACTAGTCCCACGTCCTGTCAGGAAGACTGCAGAGACCGAGGACACACAACAGTTAAAGCCAAGCTTGGGCGGTGACTAGCACTAATTTGCTCCCTCACGGCACCTTGCTGTGCACAGAAGGCTGGCGTGCAGCAGTTGGGGTTCATGTGTGTCGCTCTGAGTCCCCATGGATATATTCTTTTATTGATAACCAGGTCCCCAGTACGATGGAATGTCTTTCAGATAAGGGCACCAGTGGCAGGGTCACTCCCACGGGGGCTTTTGCCCACCTACTGATCACCTCCAGGCTCTGGGCCTGCTTCACCCCCAAGCTGGAGGCAGCGAGACACAGCAGTGCTTGTGCGTCATGTCTGAACCACGGAGGAGAGGACTAAAGGATGGTAGCAGGCAGCCCAGCCGCACCACCCCTGGCACACAGCGCAGGCCCACCAGTTGGCCCACCTCCTTCAGCTCCTGTGCCACCGAGCTGAGGCGTTCGTTCTCAGACTGCGTGTTAGTGAGGACGTTGCGCAGCTGCTTCAGCTCCGTCTGCAGCTCCAGCACCTTCCGCACGTAATACTGCTCCTTGGAGGCCGACTCCTGGATCAGGCTCTCCTCTCTGCTCTCGCCATCCGCGGCCACCTTCTTGTGGTTCGTGTGCGCCTGTCCGAATGCCTGCATCAGAAGACAAGAGGCTTGTGAGCTGTAGGCAGCCTGGGGCACATGTCCTCGAGACCTATCCAGTGGCAGTGCCAAGGCTGTGTGACAAGGCCAGGAGGACCCATTGATCAGGGAGAGGGCTATGTGAACCAAGACACACCCTTCCCTGAAATAAAACCAGGTCTCTGAGGAGCAAGTCTGCAGTGTGGCGCAACCTCACAACTGCTGGGAGCACAAAAGGGGTGGAGCGCTCTCCTGGACCCCACCCCGGAGACTAGCTGGAAAGCTCAGGTACCCTTGGCCTGGCCCAGGAGTGAACTCCAGAGCTGCATACACATTCTTCAACTCCTCCCTACCCTGGATGCAGAAACTGGGGCTCAGGGAGATGTACCTGCCATTCATGTTAGGGGCAGCGGAGCCTGCTCACCCTGCTACATGAGGCTAACTCACCTTTACTCGCTGTGGGAGTAAACCTAAGATAGGTGGCTGGAATTCTATGCCTGGAAAAGAAGCTGGCAATGCGAATCAGCTAGAGAGGCCAGCACTGTGTGTGGGAGCCCCCAAATTCACAACCAGCATTTTCCATACAAAATGATGAGGCTAAAGGGCAACTGTTTTGTCACACGAGGAAAAGCGATGTGGGGCCTAGGCTCAGGAAGAAGATGCTATGGTTAAGGGTGAAGGGTCCACACAGTTCTCTGTCTCCAGGGAGGGGACCAGGGGCCTGTGGTATGTGACTTCCAACAGACCCCATTCTACAGTGTGTCATCCCCAGCAGCTAACAGGACATCACAGCCCAGCAGGATGGCCATGGCTGTGCATGGCAGCCGATGGCTTGCACTGACACCCTGTTGCAGACACATGGATGCCCATGTCAACTTTGCTCCCTCACAAGGCCTCTTCTTGCCCATCTGCCCCCAGCCCACGGACGCAGTGATGCCAAAGCACCATCTTTTCTTCCTTCTTTCTTTCCTTCCTTTCCTTCTTCTTTCCCTCCTTCCTCTCTCTCTCTCTCTCTCTCTTCTTTTTTTTTTTTTTTTTAAGATTTATTTTATTATTTTTATTGGAAAGGCGGATATACAGAGAGGAGAGACAGAGAGGAAGATCTTCTGTCTGATGATTCACTCCCCAAGTGAGCGCAACGGCCAATGCTATGCCGATCCGAAGCCAGAAGCCTCTTCCGGGTCTCCCACATGGGTGCAGGGTCCCAAAGCTTTGGGCCGTCCTCCACTGCTTTCCCGGGCCACAGCAGGGAGCTGGATGGGAAGCGGGGCTGCCGGGATTAGAACCGGCGCCCATATGGGATCCCGGGCGTGCAAAGTGAGGATCTTAACCACTTGCGCCACCATGCCAGGCCCCTCTCTCTCTCTTCTTAAACACTCATTTATTTTTATTGGAAAGGTAGATTACAGAGAGAAGGAGAGATAAAGATCTTCTGTCTACTGGTTCACTCCCCAAATAGTCGCAACAGCTGGAGCTGAGCTAATGCAAAGCCAGGAGGCAGGATGCCCTTCTGGGTCTCCCACGTGGGCTCAGGGTCCCAAGGCTTTGAGTCATCCTTGACTGCTTTCCCAGGTCTCAGGCAGGGAGCTGGAGGGGAAGCGGAGCAGCTGGGATGTGAACTGGGCCCATATGGGATCCTGGCGCATGCCAGACAAGAACTTTAGTCACTAGGCTACCGCACTGGGCTCTAGAGCTCCAACTTTTCAAAGCAAAAGAACTCAGCTATGGCATTTCTTTCTCCTCCATCCTGGTTCCAGGAAAACAAAACCATAAATCACTACGTCCGCACAGCACCTGTCTCCTGCTGGCTGTCATCCCAGAGCTCTCAGCCCAAACAGTAGCCCCAGTTCTAACTCTCCTGCTGGTTGAGGAGCTGGGTTAAAGTCTGGCCAAGCCTCCTGACACTCAGGCAGGGCTGACCAAGGGACCAGCACCTGTGGCCACTCCCAAGACCTGTTACTGGGGCTGTGAACATCTTCTCAGAGGCTTCTTTGTGGTGACACATCAACATCATTTGAGTCCAGCCTGCCAGCTCCAGTTGGGCAAGCTGGGCATCCAGTCGCTCTTCAAACACACTGAGGTAGACCTCTCTACCTCCATCAAGAAAAAGTACTCACAGGGACTCCATCTGCTCCCGTGTGCAAGGTGTAAAATGCTCTGGAAAATGATAGCATGAATGCACAGAATGTTCCCCAGAGGAGCTTCCCACCAGCAAACAGGAAGGGACTGAGCGATCCTGGGAGCAGAGGTGCTTGGCAGACAGTGGGAAGACAATGACAGAAGCAAAAGTGGCAGGCCTGCAGCCAGGACAAGTCCTCAATGCGGATGGGTGAGCGCAGGGCCAAGGAAGCCACGAGTAGGAGAAGCTCAGCCAGGGGTGAGGGCAGTACCCCACCACCCACAGGGAGGACTCATTCCCACCAATCAGGGAGCCTTCCTGACTCACAGGCATCAACTGGCATGCTCCCGGGGACTGTGGAAGTCAAGTTGGATTATATGTCGTTTTGGCACTGCAGGGCAAAACTAAGGACAGACACCGAAAGTATCCGGTTTCCACACCACTTCCTGCATCCCAGAACAGAGCTCGAAGATGTCCACTCTCCAGTTGGGTCCAGGGGACATTCACAGACAGCACTCAGCTCTAACTGGTTGTCAACAGTGGGGCCAATGGGCACGAAGACAGCTATCAGAAATGGGCCCCACAGCCAGGAGACTCAGCACACTAAGCAGAAAATAAGAAGATGTAAAACAATCCACTCTAAACTTCCAGGGAAGAAAATTAACCACATCATTGTAACAGCAGATAGGCGCTGCAGATGGCAAGATTAGTCCATCCTAAAACACAGCAAGCTACCCAAAATCAAACACAAGAAAAAGGAAATAAGAAAACCCCCAAACAAAACAGCATTTATAAAGTACAGGTCAATTCAAGTAACCTAATACAGGTAAGGTGAGTTTCCAGAAGATCAAACAGGGAGAACAGGAAAAATATTCAAAAATATAATGACTGAAGAATTTCTGAGTTTGGAGTTGACATTGTAGAGTGTGGCAAGTCAGGCCACTGTCTATGATTGTCTATGATGCTGGCACCTCATGCGGGCATTGGTTTGAGTCCCAGATGCTCTACTTTTTTTAAAAAAAACGATTTATTTATTTTTATTGGAAAGGCAGGACTACAGAGGGAGAGACACAGAGACTAAAAGATCTTCCACCCACTGGTTCACTCTCCAAGTGGCCGCAACAGCCGGAGCTGAGCTGATGAGCTGATCCAAAGCCAGGAGCCAGAAACCTCTTCCAGGTCTCCCACATGGGTGGAGGGTCCCAAGGCTTTGGGCTGTCCTCGACTGCTTTCCCAGGCCACAAGCAGGGAGCTGGATGGGAAGTGGAGCAGCTGGTACACGAAACAGTGCCCACATGAGATCCTAGAAGTTCCTGATTCCTGGCTTCAGCTTGGCCCAACCCTGGCTATTGTGGCCATTTGGGGGAGTGAACCAAAGATGGAAAATTCTCTCTTTTTCTCCCTCCCCTTTTCTCTCTGTGATTCTGCCTTTTAATAAACATTTTTTTTTTAAATTCACAACTTGATGAAAAGCATAAACCCATAAATGTTATTAGCTTCTCATTCTCAATGCAGGGATGATTAGGAAAATTAAACCGACATAAAAGTTACTGAAAGCTAGTGACATGGTTTTAAAATGCTAAAAAATTAGTCAGAGGACAAAAAACATGTAACTTATGCTGGAGCAAAGACAAGGGCAGTAGCGAAGTCCTGTGACCAGCCAGCAGGCAAGCACAGCAACAAGCTAAAAACAAAACAAAACAATCCCGGGTAACACAGCCAACCAGTGAAAAGTGCTCACAACTGAAGGTGGAAGAGATTTCAACAGACAAATACTGAAAGAATTATCAACAGCAGGCCTGCATTACACGGTACGTTAATGAAATGCCGTGCTCAGAGGGAAAGGAATACCATTTAGAATTCTAGATTTACAAGAAGAATGAAAAAAATCAGAAATGCTGGCCACATGAGTAAATACAAAGTCATTTTCTCTTATTTTTAAAGTCATTTTAAAAGATGGTTAACTTGCAAGGCAGAGTGTTAGCCTAGAAGAATTATCTACCACCCCACAGTGTCGGCATCCTAGAAGACCCCTGACTTGTGTCCAGGCTGCTCCGTTTCCCATCCAGCTCCCTGGAGAAGCAGCAGAGGAGGGCTTAAGTCCTTGGGCCCTTGCACTCACATGGGAGACCCAGAGAAGTTCTAGGGTTTGAATTGACCCAGCTCTGTTGCAGGAGGGACGGAGGGAAAGAGGCAGGGAGAAGAAGAAAGAGTGAGAGATTAAGAGAGAGAAAGAGAGAATTACTCCCCAAATAGACACAAGCCAGAGCTAGAGAGAGTGAAACTTGGATCTGATCTGTAAGCTGGCTGACCTTCAAAACTAAGAATTAATGCTGTCTGAAAGAATCAAAAGACAGACTGGGAAAGAAACCTGGCAAATCACCTATGTGATAAAAGACTTCTATCTAGAAAACAGAGGACTCTCAAAGTAAAAGAAAAAAAATAATAATAAAAGAAAAGGTGGGGAGGGGATGGGACAAAGAACCTAAAAGCTACTTCATCCAAAAAAAGATATATGTATGAGAATCATACAAAAAGATACTTAACATTATGAGTCAAAAGGGAATGCAAATTACAACCAATCACCTTAAGTTACCAAATAAGTACCTATTAGAATTTCTTTCACATACATATTTGAAAAGCAGAGTGAAGAGAGAGAGAGAATTTTCCACCAGTTGGTTTGCTACTTCCCAAACAGCTGCCAAACCCAGGGCTGGGCTAGAACAAAGGCAGGAGGAGCCTGAAGCCACGTGGGTAGCAGCCACTCAAGTACTTGAGCTGTCACCTGCTCGGTCACAGGCACACGGGCGGGGAGCTGCAGCAGACCCAGACTAGCCGAGACAAACCAGCACTCCCTCGGCGATGCCTTTAGCTTGCCATAACCTACTTATGC